TTCTCTCCCAGCTGGCAGCAGTGAGTTCTGGAGGAAGGTTCCCCCTCTCGCCTCAGCAGGACACTCACCTCACACCACTGTCACTGCATGTGCTCCTGGGGCCCCTCTCAGATCCAGGAAACTCCTCTGCCTCCCCTATGGCAGGTGCCGGTGGGGTCTGCCATCACGTAGGCCCAGCCAAAGAATTTACAAGGTCCAAGGTGGATGCTGCGGTTGGCTGCACCACATTGGTTCCCAGCCAGGGCAGTGAGCGAGCAGCAGGGTGGGCAGGCGCTGGGCTGCCTTGCTTGCCTTGCCCTAAGGCCGGACCTGCCATCATTTGTCCACCTCCTGGCCTGCCACTGCCCCTCACGGTGGGGGATGGGGCTGCCGCATGCCCGGTGTGGGGCAGGAGTGTGACTGTATGTTGTGGGTGGGGCAGGATGTCAAGACACTCACCCAACCCCCAGGCTGCGGCTCAGGTCCGGACTCCAAACTATTGGCTGGCTCATACCGGGGGGAAGGGACCCTGGTGCTGGTGGAGGGTCCAGCCAGAAAAGGGAAGGATCTGTCACTCCTAGATGGAAGGACAGTCAGCCTGCCCTGACACTGGTAGTTGGGGGGTGCTAGGACCCTGTGGCAGCAGCTGGTGCTGGGAGCTGGCTGGGGCTGGGTCTCTCAAGAAAGCAGAGCAGTGAGTGGCAGGAGGCAGCCTCCTATTAGCCACAGTGCAGGGATGCTGAAGGGAGGCAGCAAATCCATCTGGAGAGAGAACCAGCCCTGAACATTGATGGAGCTGGGACCTGGTGGCTCTGAGTTTTGCTGGAGCACAGGCACCTTGGCCCATATAACTCACCGCCCCGGAGGTGAGGGGCTGGGTTCAGTGTAAGAAATAAAACTGGGTGGAATTTTTCTGATGGACGTTTTTCCAGCAAAACCAGCCAACGCTAGCGAAATAAAATAGCTGCGTCCTTTTCCCAGTCAGGATGTTGACAATCGAGCTATTCCGTGAACCACTTTGATTTTGTAAAGTTGAAGCACTTCATTTCAAAATGAGGGAAAGATTTGCTTTGCCATTCTCCTGATTCTAATGGAGTTCCAGGCCAACATGGTAACTGCAAAATGTATCAAAATGAAATGGAACATTTCAGTAAACATGTTTCAATATTCCTGAAATGAAGTTTATAAATTTTGGTAGTGAAGGAAATTTCAAAATGCTGATATTTTGTTCTAGATTGAAATAAAAGCAACTGTCAGATTTTCCTAGTGACTGGAAATTCATAGTTTTTACCCATCACCATAAGAACCTGACTAAACTGCAACCAGAGAGAACACCTGTCCGAATATGAGCAATGGAGGCCTTTCTGGAGGTGTCAGCTAACCAAGTAAGGACATTCCTGACCAGAGAGTATGATACAACAAAGACATAGTTACTTGAAAAAGCCATGTGAACACATTCCTAATGGTCGGTACAAGAACATAACAACCCCTTGTAAGCTAAGGAGGGAATGGTAGGACAATGGATAGGGATCTTTGGTTCCAACTTGTATAAGGATGGTAATTAGCAACATCTGGAGCATGATGCATAATGTGTTTGTATCACTGCATTAAAGGAGAAGTCATTGGAGGAGTCTCACCAGGGGGACATCCCCCTGGTGAGCTGGTTGAACTGGCACGTTGTCACAAGCACCTGTGAATTAGTGTACGTGTGAACCATTGAGCCCGGGAGCTGGTACCATACGTCATTGGCCATACTCCTGGCCCAGGGACCTTCCCATCAAACTGAGCCCCTGGGCATTCTTTATAAATATTTGGGGCTGCTGAATCAGCCAGCTGCACAGTCGGCAAGGGCAGCATCACCGAGCACCCTTAACACCATGCCACAGCTCTAACAGCAAGCAGCACTTGCTAAAAAGGGAGGTGGCTCCAGCCAACAGAGCATGTTGATTCAGTGACTGACCCACCCTTGTGTGACTCCACTTTAGGGACAGCATAGCGCCACTGAATCCACTAGAATTACAGCCATGAATTAGCCCCCTTTGGAGAGTCTCCACTACTGGGCCAGACATCCTGTAAGCCTTGACAGGAAACTGGGAAGGAAGCTGGACGTTGTATCGGTTTATCCTCGCTAGAGCGAATCCCAGCTTACTCAGAGCAGGGGGCCAGGCTGGCCTGGGGAAGTGTAGTCTGCAAGCCTTCTTGTGCTAGATTAGTCCAATTGGCCCAAATAACATTTGCTGATGAAAAAGGCAAACTTGAATCAAAACCAATTCATGCTCTAGCAGGGCACACCCCTCCAGAGCATCTCACTGAGGTCCTGCAGTGTCCTGCCTCTGTTTCTCTTCTTCAGAGTCTCCTATGACCAGGGCTTGACAATTAGGGCAATCTACTCACCCATGGCAAGTAGATTTTAGCCCGGCACGGCACCACAGCATGATCAGCACATGCGCAGCGCGGTCTGCACATGTGCAGTATGCCAAACCATGCGGCTGGCGAGCGGGGCTCACTGCTGCTTGTCAAGCCTGGCTTATGATCACTCCCACAACATATTTCCTGTTGTTGTCTCTTTCTCCCCTGCCTGTGGCTGGGTTACTAGGTACAACAGTTCTTGAAATAATTATCAAAGTCCCACAAATAAAGTCCCACAAAATAAGGCAAAGTGTGGGGGAGGGATAGTTCAGTGTTTTGAGCATTGGCCTGCTAAACCCAGGGTTGTGAGTTCAATCCTTGAGGGGGCCATTTAGGGATTTGGGGCAAATCTGTCAGGGATGGTACTTGGTCCTGCTGTGAGGGCAGGGACTGGACTCAATGACCTTTCAAGGTCCCTTCCAGTTCTAGGAGATAGGTATATATATATATATATATATTATTATTATTATTATTATTCAGATGTACATCCAATGTGCCTCCCAGACACCAAAATACTCTCCTGTCCCAGTCTGTGCTTTGCAGAACTGCCACACCCAGCCATCTGTACCTGGAGATCGGCCTTTTCCTGCTAATATCTCCCCTGTTTGGAGGAAGAAAGAAGAAGAGATCCTCCCATTTCAATTCTTTTACACGTGAACTACACCGGATCACAAGGGCAGAGTGCTTAAGGGAGATTTAAAGGCAGTTTGACCAGCTATAGCACAGTACAGTACTATCATACAATTCGTAAATGCTCAAGATGTCTGTGGTAGGAGAGTTCAGTTCCATTTAATAGAATGCCATTGGCTTATACCAGGTCTGAATTTGACTCATAACAGTCAGGAAACTGTGTACTAAACCTCAGCTGGTGTAAATGAAGCTACTTTGGGGCCTATACCCCATACAGTTACTGCTGCTTGTCAAAACAACAACAAAACCTTACCAAAACAAACCGCTCCATTACACTCACTGTTTTCCCCCTGGGAGAAAGAATGAACCAACATATGAGATATGCACAACTGAAACTTGCATTGTGCACAACTGAAATGTTTGGCTACTACAATGATCAAGGTGGCATAAGAAACAATTCAGAACAGATTTTTTTATTTTAAAATTAAATGGATTTGTACTATTTACCTAACATTTTCAACATTTACTTTTCACAAAATCTTTAAAGTAATAATAATTAATACTTGGGGCTTGATTCACTACAGTGATACTCCAGTTTGACTTTGGAGTGAGTTTAGTGAAATCCAAGGCATCACACCAGGGTAAATCTGGTGCAACTCAGGCTCTGGGTTTGCGGGGTAGCTGAGCAAAGTGTTTTGCATGTGGTGTCTCCAGGCTACACATGACACTAGCTGATAAAGACGACTGAAAGTTGGATTTACAAATCAGGCTTCATTGCAAAGCTACAACCAAGCTAATTACTTGCATGATTTGTTGGGGGAGGGGAGTCATTAATAAATCTTTTAAGCTACACACAAAACTATCAGTGACCATGCAAGGATTATTCATGATACAGCAGGGGAAATATTGTCCCCAGCCCCTGTTTCTTAAAAGAAGTTTGCGACTTTAAAGAGACTTAAGTCTTCTGAGCTGGTGCCCTAGGACTGTGCAGCCTGGGCTTCTGTTAATTCGGGCTGGGGCCAGAAGTGGCAGTGAACTGTGATGTCCCCCTCGGTTAACCGAAAGGAGAGGTTACTCGAGCCCTGCTTTCTGTTTCTGATTGGCGCCTAGAGGTCTGCGCCTTTAATGTGCCCGATTGTCTGTCATTGCCTATGAGTTCTTCCTGGAAACTCCGGGTGCCACTAATTTTGCCAATCAGTGTGGGGAGGGTAGAGGGGTGTAGAATATATCTCATGGGACTGTGTCATGCTGCGAATGAGGGTTCCCCGGTCTCCCCCTAGTCCTGGGCGGGAGAGAGAAACGGCTCTGCCAGCGCCGGAGCGATACGCGTCCCTCTCGTCTATAAATCGCGGAGGCGAGGCTCCTAGAGGACAGAGACACAGAGACAGGGAAGCAGGCTCCAGAGCCCCAAGACCGCCGAGCCGAGCAGCACAACTCTCTGGCAAGCTGCAGCGGCTCAAGGAGGCGGCTTCGCCTGGCACTGGTATTGTTTAGTCCGGAGAGAGTGGCAGGAGGCGCTGCTCAATCCCAGCGCGCACACTGAGTGCCCGGACCAGCAGGAGGGGGCTTGCAGTTTGGTCTGGCTCCGGAGCGCACAGATGGGCACCGTGGAGTGAAGCATCGAGGAGAGGAGACCGAGGCGGGCAGCAGCCCCATGGACAGGGCTGGGACACAGAGGTCAGCACGCTGGAGAGCGCGCCGGACCAGCGTTGGATGGCGGGATGCAGCCCTTAGCGGAGCCGACCCAGGGGTCAGCACCGCAGACAGGGCACAGGGATGAGCAGCGGCCGAGCTGAACAACTGGACGCTCCAGCACCGTGGAGCGCGCTAGTGCCCTATATTCCGCACCATGGAGAGCGCACTGCACGGCTAGTGCCCTGGATCAGCACCATGGAGAGCGCACTGCGCGGCTAGTGTCCCGGATCCAGCTCCATGGAGAGCGCACTCCGCGTCTAGTGTCCTGGCTTCAGCACCAAGGACAAGGCTCTGGCGAGAGCCGCGGGTGGGTTCTAGCCCCATGAACCCGGCTCGCGCCACCCCAGCACCATGGAGAGGAGACTGAACGTGACCCCGGAGGCGCTCAACAAGCTCCTGCGAGAGCACAACATGACCAGGCAAGAGTTCATCGCCGCCTACGGCCTCAAGCCCCTGGTGTACATCCCAGAGCTGCCTCCCCGCGCCAAGGTCATCTTCCTAGTGCTCTACATCTTCATCTTCGCGCTGGCTCTTCTGGGCAACAGCCTGGTGGTCTACATCATCATCCGGCGGAAACCCATGAGAACAGCCACCAATATCTTCATCTGCTCCCTGGCTTGCAGTGACCTGCTGGTAACTTTCTTCTGCATCCCTTTCACGCTTCTGCAGAACGTCTCCTCCGAGTGGCTAGGGGGTAAGTCCAAGTCCCCCTGTCCAGCTGGGCCACCCCACCCCCTTCTTTCTTCTGCCCTCCACCCCAGGTCTTGAGATCTTCCACAGTTTGTCTGCTGCCCACCAACCAACCCCCCTCCCCACCTCCTAGGATGGAGACCATGTCCATCACTCGGTTGTTTCAAAGCCAAATGCTCCTTCGCTTTAGCTGAATCATTTTAGAAGCTGGTGCAGCAATTGAGTTCCTTCCACCCTTAACACAACAACTCATGGCAGCAGATGCTGGGGGTGGGATTTAGCACCCTGATCAATACATTGTGCCTATTTTCTTGTTAAAAGAAATTAGGGTCATATGAAGAAAATGAACCTTCCTGACCTTTTAAACTATAAACATACAATCAAGTTGCACAAAATGGTTTTCGGTTTTTCTAACAATTTGCAGTCTCCACTTCTTCATTCCCTGTTATTTTTGTCAGCTTGTATTGTTTTTCAGTCTCTCTTCATAGCTTAAATTAGGAATCTGTCACTTAGCAAAAACCTGTTTGGGGGTCACAAATGAGTTATGTGTATCCTTTTATGCAGGATATGAAAAGTAACATTAGGATCCACATTTGCATGTATGCAGCTATGGTGTTGTTATATTATTTATTTGTATTATTAGAGTGCCGATGAGCCCTAATTAGAGATTAGGACCCCATTGTGTTAGATGGTATCTAGGTATACAAAAGAAAATGTGGCCCACTCTGACATTCAGAGAGGCAGGGATAAAAAAAATCGATAGAACATTATAAAGGGGTGTTTAATACTCCCTGAAATCAAGTTGTGTATGAAGTTGTGAAATCAAGTTGACAAAAATATAACTGAATCACTATAAGAGGCATCACACTGAGATCTTCACAAATCACACATGGGCCAAGAAATGAAGGCTTCATTGAGCAAGAACAGAATGAGTTCAGTCATATAACTGTTGGATCTAAGTAGCATGCCCATAAGCGGTAACATTTTCTAGTTGCGGCTTACTGCCAAAAAGTATTTCCCTTTGAAAGCAGTGGGGAAACCTGGAAAAATGTGGCTAGTCTGAATGCCCCACTGTGTGAACTGAGGGTCAAAATGGCAGTTATAAAATTAGGGGTTATAGGGAATTAAATAATCACTATAGGATGTCTTCAGTCAGAATTCGGGGTTTGTTCCTGAGAGGGCCTCTACTCCATCAATGGTGATGAACTTTCAGCTGCGTCCTGACCCTAGGTCAGTATGTACTTTATATGTGGGGAGGCAGTTGGTACCAAGATATTTCTCAGTGAGGCGTTCTGTTACAACCTCTCTGGAATGCGCCTACAGCCTGTGCCACGTACCTTTTGGTGTTCTTTATGCTTGATCTGGCTTATGCTCTTTCTCTTCATCCAAGCCTCTTTCCTTCCTGCAGTTTCACTGAGCCAGAGTCTTACTAGATTTCAGGCCTGATGATTTGATGTTACAGACCCTCAGCTTGCTACATTCCCCCACTTTTTGTTTTTTCTCTGGAGGATGTTTACTCATCATCCCAGAAGAGCATAATGCATGAACTGAAGGTGACCCAGTGGACTAAACGCTGTCATGTGGACACCATGCCTTATGCCCCATCTGTCCCTTAGTCTGCACATTCCCTCGTACGACAGATGAACAGATTTTATTTTCCAATTATGTTAAGTCCTTTATGGTGGACCTGGGAATGGTAGGCCTTGGGACCATTACTGAGGAATGTAGTTTACTGACTTAATCTTAGAAGCCCTCCCAAATAATTAACAATGTATATACTTGTAGTGTATTTGAGTACAGCATGTATTGTGTAAATGACACAACCTTATAACAATTTATTTTCCAGTTTTATATTGTGATTTGGTCCTTGTGAACTGCTGATAGCAGCACACTCCTATTAGGGCATTTATAGTTACCATTTGTATTATTAAAAACAGTAGGCTGAGTGTTTTCAGTGGCATAGTTATAGTTTCCCCCACAGGATTATGTATATAAGAAGTAAAACAGAAATTTGGAGTGGTGACACTATAAATGAGGCTGTTATATAGAAATGTCTTGTTGCTAATTAATTACTACCCAGTACTGTCCATTCATGTTCTAAGTTACGCTCAATGCTGTCTGTCACCCTCCGGGGGTAAGCCTTCCTGGGCAGGAACTAGGAATAGCTAGCTTCTCTGTTCCATTGGTTGCAGTGCTCAGTGATACACCAGTAGCTGACATAGATACAGTTTCAGAGGGGTAGCCGAGTTAGCCTGTAACTGGAAAAACTTAAAAAACAAGCAGGACCTTAAAGACTGACAAAATATGTAAGTGAGCTTTCGTGGGCACAGCCCACTTCTTCAGATGACTGGAATATTAAAGGTCCAGTTCCAGTGTTTCTTATGGATATTGTCTTCCAGATAACCTACGGAATGGACTGTGAGCAATTTTATTAATTATTGCTGTGTCAGGATTTAGTCTGGGTACCCAGACACACAACCCAATTGTTTTGAATAACATGTGCCTCAGTTAGGGTGCAGTGTCACTGATCCAAATCGTGACTGGTAATAACAGTCTTTACTGTGAACTGTTATCTTCTAGGCTGTGTCTACACTGAACCCCTTTTCCGGAAAAGGGATGCAGATGAGACAAGTCGGAATTGCAAATGAAGCGGGGATTTAAATCTCCCCCGCTTCATTTGCAATTCCGACTTGTCTCATCTGCATCCCTTTTCCGGAAAAGGGATGCAGATGAGACAAGTCGGAATTGCAAATGAAGCGGGGATTTAAATCTCCCCCGCTTCATTTGCAATTCCGACTTGTCTCATCTGCATCCCTTTTCCGGAAAAGGGATGCAGATGAGACAAGTCGGAATTGCAAATGAAGCGGGGATTTAAATCTCCCCCGCTTCATTTGCAATTCCGACTTGTCTCATCTGCATCCCTTTTCCGGAAAAGGGATGCAGATGAGACAAGTCGGAATTGCAAATGAAGCGGGGATTTAAATCTCCCCCGCTTCATTTGCAATTCCGACTTGTCTCATCTGCATCCCTTTTCCGGAAAAGGGATGCAGATGAGACAAGTCGGAATTGCAAATGAAGCGGGGATTTAAATCTCCCCCGCTTCATTTGCAATTCCGACTTGTCTCATCTGCATCCCTTTTCTGGAAAAGGGGTGCAGTGTAGACACAGCCCCCATGTGTTTGTGGTGTGATGTCTTCTGGTATTTTTGGTCGGTAGGATGAAACAAACAATTTCAGTTAGTTAACATCATAAAAGTTTTTGTTTGTTTTACATTTATCTTGTTTTTAGTAACCCAAATTTAATAAACAGGTTAGTTTAATTTGTTTATAATGTAATAGGGACCAAATCTTTTTGTAATATAAACTAAACTTTTGCAATTGTTGTATAGACATTTATTTTCACTTGAGGTTTATTACCAATATTGTGTCCTAAACATAACACTAAACTGTTAAAATAGATCATCACAATGTTCCACGAGAAGGTATATTGCTTTCCCCTGCTAAACACTTTGACTATGTCTATACTGCACTCTCTTGAGCAAGAAAATATGCAAGCAAGGAGAAGTGGTGAATATCGCCACGCCTCATTTGCATACACAATGAGCCGCCATTTTGCACAAGGACAGGTCATTAAGTATGCAAATGAGGCATGGCAATATTCACCACTTTGCCTCGTTTGCATATTTTCTTGTGCAAGAGAGTGCAGTCTAGACGTAGCCCTAGAGCAAGAGTTAGTAACGTAATTTTTACCAAGCTTTTTAGAGTTAATTTGCTTGTGATACCAATTCCACTTTTGTTAATTGTTTAACAAGTACAAACATTACTACTTTCCTTTAACATAATATACAAGAAAATAGAATTTAAATCAAAATGAATTTTAAAAACAGGTGTGTGTAAATGCTTTGAGGATATTAAACATTCATGATGCTTTGTTATGTTTGGGAGTCCAAGGTGGAATCAAAAGTTTGGTTAGCTTTATACATTATTGCTATGCCATTCTTATAACTGCATTTAAAAATAAAAACAAGTTTATAAAAATCCATACAAAAAATTGACATTTTGTTAATGTTGCCTTAACCTTAATGTGGAGATTTCCCTTTACATTTTTCTTTGAATTAAAAAATAAAATATTTTTTTTATTAATATAAGAAAAAAAAAGTTTGCTATGGCATTATTTGTTGAGGCAGAAATACATGTACATATATGTGTAACTGAAACCTTTTTGAACTTTGCAAAAAAATTAATATTCATAATATGATTATACTCCAAACATAATAGTAAAATAGTGTGGTAACACATTTTAATTTTTAAAAAGGTATAAAATTGACTTATGTTGCAACAAAATAAAAATAATTTTAAAAAACAGTTCTGTGATACACAACATACAACAAAATTGGCAACATACATGACATATAGGATAACTTATAATGAAAAAGCAAAATGGCACCAAAATTACATTTATAACTAAGACAAAAAAAAGTTGGAAAAATAAACAAAAGGGTTAAACATTTAAATCAGCAAGTTATTACTTTATTTAAAACTTTTAATAAAAATGTCTATTACTTTTAATATTTGTCAAATGTGTTGTATTAATTTAATAACTTATGGCATTGTCTATTACTTTATGTCTTAAGCTTTATTTTTAAACTCTGCTATACAGGTATATTGAAATAAGAAAAGCGAATGTTTCAAATATTAGTCAGTGGTTAAGGATTAGAAACAGTCGGCATGTCTGTTGCTTAGCAACCTTATCTCCAGGAAAGTTGGGAGGAATTCCAGGTGTTGCATTCCTGAAGGGTTAAAATAATTAATTTACTGGTTTCATTCAAATTAAAGCTTTTACCTTATTTTTTGTTCCTTGTTTTGTTTTAATTGCTTTATATTTTGAAGATTTCTGTAAAAACTAACTTTTAATTTTTAACAGAGAGAGAGTCAAAGAGAGGAGAAGAGGGGGTGAAGATCAATTTAGGAAGGTAGGGAGACTTGAGCCAAGAGATTAACTCTT